TCTCGCTCTTGCTCAGGCTGGTTTCGAACTCCTGAGCTCAAACAATCCTCCCGCCTCGGCCTCCCAGAGTGCTAGGATTATAGGCGTGAGCCACTGCGCCCGGCTGTTCTCTAATTTTTAATGCATACATTGACATATGTGCAATGAAATTGAATATGCAGCTTTGTGGGGATTTTTTTAATTTTGATTTTTAAAAGCATGCAGAAATATAGGCTTGTTGTTTAAAAATATAGAAAATGGCAGGTCCTATTCATGTCTCATAACTTTACCACTTCTCCCAAATCCCCTAACCTCATTCCCTTTATGCCTGTGTTTATGAGGAGAAATGCATAGATATTTCACTCCATTTTTCCAAAAACAAATCAGATAATTTTCTCATAACATTAACAATATTTTGTCAATTTCAGCTTAATGGTAGCATGTTAATGGTGATAATAGTAGCTACCATGTGTTGAGTAACTGCTGTGTGCCTGGTATGTAATTGCTAATCTTACACAATAATTCCCATTCGACTGATGAGGGAACGGTATGACTAATAAAATGTCTGTGCATTCAAACACTGCTCTGCCTCTTCCATGGATACCTCAACATGTGGATATGTGACAATTAACCATCCACGAATTTTTCCCCATTGTTAGATATTTATGGTTTCTTATTTTTCACTATTATACATGATAGTTACTATTTTTATATGTTAGTCTGTGTCTGCATTTCAAATTGTTTCCTAAGAAAGGTTACTAGAAATGAATATTTTAAAAGTTTTGACACATAGTGCCACTTGCCTTCCTGAAAGGTTATGCCAATTTACAGGGAGTGATTAATTCTAATGGGAGGGAAAGGAGAAAGGGAGTGACATTTCACAGAGGAGTTGACATTTGAGCTGGATCACACAGGATGCATAGGCTTTGTCAGAAGAGAGGCAGAACCTTCCAGATAGGGGGCGGGAGTGAGAGCAAAGGCTCCATGGCATGAGAGAACCTTTGCATCAACAGAGTTAAGTTTGTTCCCTGTGCCTATTTGCAACCAGAAATCCTCATCATTTCCTTATTTTATAGTTAGCAGGGAAGAGAATCAGAATAAATCCAGAGAGAAAGTTAGAATTATAATATGTGATTCTGCCCTTGCATATATTTATAAACCATCTCAAATGAAAGCTTTTTTGAAGTTCTGAGATAGTCATATTAATGTTTTGTGTTTTTTTTTTTCCTTTCCCCAAAGTGGGGAAAAATCTCCTGAGGATTCAGTATGACTGGGAAACCCATCAAACCTCTCTGGTCCCACCTGCTTTCCTGAATTTTAAAGGACAGCACATTTGACATTGGTCATCACTTACAGTTTTCTAGTTAAATGCAAAGAGGAGTGTCTTCAATTTCTTACATGGAACAGGATTTTTAGCCATTTGCTTGATAAAATGGATAAAAGTAACTAAAGTCTATTTTTAAATTTAGGACAAGTGCCAGCACTAGGGAGTCAAGTTATACAGTAAGGAGAGCTATAGCCAGATTTCAGCCTTTATCTGGCGCTGGTGTGTCTGCAGTTCCCTCTTCCTGGACTGCAGCAAGTGCTGAAAGCCAGGGCATAAAAGGGACAGGGTAAGAGAACGGGCAGAGCCAGGGAGGCTTCCTCATGCCACTTCACGCTAATCCTATCATCGCAGCTCAAAATGCAGTATGGCCAGTGAGCCATCTCACATCGGATTCTGAAGGAGGCAACTTATAAATTATGTTACAAATTAAGTTAATATAATATTTCTAAAGCTGCCCAAGTGCTCCAGGACAAATAGGATTCTCTTTTTGCATCTGACATGTATATTGCTACTATGAAGATTTGGTCTAGTGGGAATTCATGAAGTTTATAAAGTATGAATTTAAGCACCTTAAAACCTAACTATGAAATAAAAATTGAGGGAATTAGGGAAATGTGAATGACTGGTTGTTTTAAAATAAATGGTGGGGTTTTTTTGCTTTTAAGGAAGGTTAATACAGTTTGAATGTTCCTTATCTGCAATGCTTGGGTCCAAAAGTGTTTTGAATTTCAGGTTTTTCCAGATTTTGGACTTTTTTCAGATTTTGGAATATTTGCATTATACCGGTTGAGCATGCTCAACCTGAAAATCTGAAATGCTCCCTTGGAGCAGCATGTTAGCACTCAAAAAACTTTGGATTTTAGAGCATTTCAGATTTCAGATTTTCAGATTAGGGATACTCAACCTTTAATGGGAATAGATGATCTGTTGAACCACATTTAATTGACAGCTAAGAAATCTTTATCGTTGCCATTGTCATACAAGTACATTCGAATGGCTTTAGACATAGTCCAGCAAAATTGCTGTGGCCAGTCTCCCATCTGTCTCCTGTTCTGCAAGTGTCTCCTCAGAAGGGAGCCAGTGTGTGGAAGTGTCACTCCTCAGTACTACCAGTGAAGCTGTAACGGTATCAAAAGAGTATTTTATTCCTAAGATTCTTGCAAGCTATTAGATGATGTATATAAAACTGTTAACCCTATGCTGGCACTTCTTAATGACAGAAGTCGGAGGAGGAAGAGTTGTTATTTTTGCATTATTATTATTATTATTATTGTGGGTTGTTGTTATCGTTATTTTTATTATTTAGGTTATTTTACAACCTTGACTTTTATTCCTGCCTTGCTAGTCTTCTCCCCAGTCCTAACAAAGAAAGATGTAATATTGGAAGTCTCTGTTCTCGATTCCATTTGTCTGTCTGTGAAAGGGAAGCTGAGCTTGATACACAGAAAATATGCACAGTGTCCCCGGGCCAGGTGTGCAGCTCTCCCCTGAGCATACACTGCTGCCAGTTAGGGAGTCCTTCATAACCGATGGACTTCATTTGAGAGGGAAGCTCGTGCCCTCCATGAAAAGCTGTTTCCTCAAAATGTCTACATTCAGATGGTGAAAATAACTGAGATCTTTATCAAAAGTTCTTGCCAACTTAAAAATCTCAAAATCAGATGCAAATGGAAGCCTATAAGAAGGAAATGGCTCAGTTCACAACTTAAGATTTCATTTCCCCAACCATGTGTCTACCTCTTAATTTATGGAGTTCACATTTGCAGCCTAAAACACAAGATCACCTTGTTCAGATTGGCATTATTTGGCCTTTTCTTACATAACCATGAGTTTAGGAATCTAAACCATCTATTTTTTTTCCCCATTCCTAATTCTACCCTTCCTGTAATAGCATGCTCTTTCTTGCATATTTGAATAGAAGAAATATTTTTAAAATAGCACATTAAAAAGTGCAAAATTGGCTGGGCAAGGTGGCTCACGCCTATAATCCTGGCACTCTGGGAGTCCAAGGTGGGAGGATCTCTTGAGCTCAGGAGTTTGAGAACAGCCTGAGCAAGAGCGTGACCCTGTCTCTACTAAAAATAAGAAAAAATTAGCTGGGCATAGTGGTGCACGCCTATAGTCCCATCTACTTGAGAGGCTGAGGCAAGAGGACTGCTTGAGCCCAGGAGTTTGAGGTTGCTGTGAGCGGATGCCACTGCACTCTAGGCCGGGTGACAGAGCGAAACTCTCTCAAAAAAAAAAATTGCAAAATTACGTTATTTACTTAAATTAAGATCCTTGCATAATTTATATAAATCTACTTAAATACTCAAAGCAATTTATTATAAAAATAGCTTCATTTATGATTAGTTTGCATTGCTACTGAGGTTGCTGTGGTAAAGGAGTTTTTATTTCTACTATTGATGAAGGTGATTTCTATAATATTTATTTTATATTGACTATAAAGTTTTGTCCTACAAAAAACTTATGTATTAAATAACTTGGAATCTCCCATAAAGCTTTCCTTATTCCCCAGATTCCCAGTTCTCTTCATTTTTATTGTTCCAGGCTTTTATCACTTAACTCTATTTAGCTGGCACCTATGCACCCTTTATCACTTAATTTTCCCGTTCAATTATTTCATAGGTTTAAGTCTTAACTTCCCAAATTTATTGTATGCTTCTTGATGACAGCTAGTGCCTTATAGTAGGGGTATATTCTACACTGTGAGTCTCAATTGTGTCACACGCAGTTGTTGACTGAGAAGAGTTATAATCAGCACAGTGAACTGCATCTGTTCTTATTACGTTGAATGTCCTAATGCCACATCAAAATTAATAAATATCTGAAATATGCATCTACTTCTTCCCTAGGTGAATCAGCTTCGTGGCATCCCCAAGCTTCTGCAGCTCCTGAAAGTTCAGAATGAAGATGTTCAGCGAGCTGTATGTGGGGCCTTGAGAAATTTGGTATTTGAAGACAATGACAACAAGTTGGAGGTGGCTGAACTAAATGGGGTGCCTCGGCTGCTCCAGGTGCTGAAGCAAACCAGAGACTTGGAGACTAAAAAACAAATAACAGGTAGTGCATACTGAATGTCAGAGCGCATACCCCGGTGCACCCAGCCAGATGTTATGTCATCTGCTTTTCTTAAGTGTTCTGGGACAAATGATTGATGGGCTCATTGTTATCCAAGAGATGGCTTTAAAGGAACATTGTTACCTGCTGCTGGCTTAGACCCCAGATTTGAACCATGTTTGAATTTCTTTTTCAAAGGGGAAAATATTCTGGGGCTTTTGCTTAATATTTTTAACTAGAAACTATGCACCTTTGACTAAATATCTTTAAAACAACTCCTTGACAAGACTAACTGTTTGCAAATTCTACATAAATTCACTCACTAGTAGCCTGCTTTGTAGTTTGAGAACATGTGAGGTTTCAATGTCATGCCTGGTGTCCAAAACATTCTTAAGAAAACAGACAAAAACCACACCCAATTCTTTTTATTATTTACTCAACAACCAGCTTGCTGGATCTGTGCAAAGAAAGTGAAATGGAGAGTCAAATAGTTAGTTTCCCAATGTAGAGGATTAATTTGGTCAAATTAGTTAAAATATCAGAAACTATTTTTCTCAATATTTTCACCACCTGGACTCCTCTCAGTACCACCTACCTAGCTCACCTACCCCTTAATCCCAAAAGAAAAGAGTGGCTAGATATATATTTTTAGTTCTCTGCTTCATATTTCTGTTCAAATACTGATTTGAACAAATATATCTTCTCTGCCCATGAACTGGAAAGATGAAATAAACAAGTAGAATTAAAGCAACAATTTTAGTAGTATGTCCTCAAAGCTTGAAGAAAGGGGACTAGTTTCTTTTAAATGAGTAGCACATAGTATTGTAGTATAGGAGAAACTCTCCCTTCCTTACTGTCAGCTCTCTGCTCATGTTCTCTGGACGCAGGACAAAGAGTACAGGAACCATTACTGAGCACAATCATCATGAAACTTTTATTAAATATTGTCAGTATCTCAAGTGATACACATACATTTTTAAATTTAATTATCACAAAAATCTTAGGTTTCTGGGTACTATAGGGTATTAAATCGGAATTTTACAGGTAAGGAAACCAAGGCTCAGAGGAGTTAGCACTTTTCAATATTACATATAAAAGTTTTTTTAAAAAAAATAACGATAATAGTTGACTGTGTTCTGGTAAATACTTTACAAAGAGTATTGTTTAGAATTGAATGTATTTTGCATTTCTGCATTCCTCACTTTGTTATACAATAGTTTTCATTTTTTTCTATGAAAATTTTGTTATATCATCTCTACCCATTTATACCTTAAAATATCACATTTTACATTTGGGTACATTTTAATTTTATGAAACTATATGAAGGGTTGTATCATGCTAGCCTTCTGCCAGCATGCTGCCATGTCCCATGAGAGATTTCCTTTCATATGCTTGACTTATATTAGAATACCTGCAAAAATTAAGAGTGATTGCATTCATTCAACCAACTTTTGCAGAGCAACTTTCAGGTGTCAGGCACTGAGAAGCACAGCCTAGGGAAGGTGTGGATTTTGTTCTTCCATCTACTGAAAACATGAAAGGTTATGTGATGGTTGGCATTAGAAGAAAAGACCAAACCCCACTCTTCGAACCTAACATTTCTTCATTACGAGGTAGTAATGAACCGCAAGAGAGAATCAAACAGATTGTCTTGTTTTATAGCCAGGAAAGACTTCATGAAGGAGGTATGTTTCATAGTGGGCCTTAAAAGAGAGATGGCCTTGGATTGGTGTTTTGAAAGGAACAATGAAAGTTATTCCTGGCAAAGTGAGCATCACTAACAAGCAAAGAGGCAGAGAGAAGCTGCTGGTCATTTAGAGGAGATGTGGAAAATACAGTGGTTAGAGTTGGGTGCATGGTGGTTAGAAAGCTTCAGAGGGTGTGTGTGGGAGGGTGTCAAGGGAATAATCCATTGAACCACACTGTCTCTTCTGTTGCATAGGCAACAGGAGACTAAACTCAGGGGACATTCTGTGAGATTGATGCCATAGAAACCATCTGGGCATCATTAGATAATCTATAGAGCTGATAAATGGAAATTGATTGTATAATACCCAGGATTTCTAGTGCAAGCCAAACATCCCTACTGGAAGGTGTTCATTACATGCCAACTAAACTGAACTGACACTTGAACATGTGATATAAATCCCTTTAAATTACTCCCTTTAACTCTGCTAATAGAAGAACTAAAGTGCTTTCTGGGTTTCAAAATTAAATTGTTGACCTAATATAGACATATTTATATCTTTGCTTAGAAACACAAAGCAAGTAAGCATATATGTGAATCTTTTCTTATTGGTCTATTTCTTAGACTCTTTTGGAGCCATATTATGTGTTAATCACTAAGCTAGGGCTTTCTGTTTTTCATCTCTGTTTCTCCTGACAACTCCATAAGGAGTGGAAGTGGGAGCATAACTGACCATTTACATATGATCAGTGTAAGGCTCACAGGGGTAAGTAAATTGTCCAAGGTTACACAACCAGTAAAGAACAAAGTCCAGGTTGGAACCCAGTTTTATCTGGGCATTTTGCTATATCATCCCACCCACTCCTGTTGGGGCACATGGTGACTCATTTGTGTACATCTTTGGGAAGAGGCTTGTCTTTGGGAGTCTGATCAGGGAGCTCTGCCTCACTCCGTTTTTGACCCTTCCTCTCTCTCTCCTTGCCTCTGCCTTGATTCAAGCCATCTTCATCTCTGTGTTCTACTCATTCCTGCAGTAGTGAGTAGAGGCCTCTTACCTAGCTTCTGTGATTCAGCATTGCACATTGCCAGTCCATCCTCTACTCTACTTCTAGTGATTTCTTTATAATAAGAACTGTCCTAGTATGCTCCCTGTTATCTGTAAGATAAAGTCCGTACCCTGTAATATCCCACACAAAGATGTTATGATGTGAGCCCGATGACCACTGACAACACAGTCTCCTCTCATACCCTTCTAGCCCAGGTTCTGAAATCCTGAAGACCTGCCAGTTTGCCCGTGTCTGTTTTCTGTCTTGGTATCTTTGTCTCTGCTATTATTTTGGACTGGAATCCTTTTCCACACCTAAACTGTTTGGTGAACCTGCTCATTCTTCAATAGCTGGCTCAGCTTCACTTCTCTGAATCCAGCATTTCCAATGCTGTCGTCCTCTCTCCCCCATCAGTAGAATTTTGAAGGAAGGGGCTTCTCTAAACTACTTTTTTTTTTATGAGACAGAGTCTCACTGTGTTGCCGAGGCTAGAGTGCCGTGGTGTCAGCCTAGCTCACAGCAACCTCAAACTCCTGGGCTCAAGCAATCCTGCCTCAGCCTTCTGAGTAGCTGGGACTACAGGCATGTGCCACCATGCCCAGCTGATTTTTTCTATATATTTTTAGTTGTCCGATTAATTTCTTTCTATTTTTAGTAGAGATGGGGTCTCGCTCTTGC